ACAACCACACCTTGTCTCCTTCGTTGGATCTATGTCCAGCAGCTCTCGTGTTGTATCTGGTCTTCACTTTCTCCGTCGCCAAGTTCACTCGCTTTCGTGCGGAACGGTGCATCACTTCAAAACGGGCCTGGACATCTTGGATGTGTTCCTCAGGCGATGAAGGCGCATCCGTACGGCGATGAAACAGGCGGTCACAAGGCAGACGAAGGTCTCGACCGAAGAGCATCTGAGATGGAGAATAGCTGGTAGTCTGGTGTTTCTTTTCGACCCTAGCATGATTTCGGCTGTTTCTCGAGCTGGTTCTTTCGGACAAAGCGTCGGCATTTCCAGGTGAGGATCCCTTCTTAGGATGGATAGTCATGTCTTTAGATCCTGAAAGCAGTTTGTTGTTTTTCAAGTCTAAGGAAAAATTGTATTTCCTTAAAAAAATCCAATCCGAGTATGCATGGATCTGTAATATCCGCCACATATGCCGTGTGATGGTAGGCGGCACTTCCAAACGTGATGTTTACGTTTAACTTCCCAGTTATGTCGATCTTGTCACCAGACGCAGTCTGAAGGGTAACACAGGATGGCGTCCAAATAAGTTTATCTTTAAACTGTTCAGCTAAATCTTTCCTAATGATGGTAACATTAGCTCCTGTGTCAATGATCAGAAATTGTCTCAATTTTCGTACCCTGGGCTGTTCTGCAATTCTTTCGTACGTGGCCTTCAGCTCCACAGTTCCAGCACTTTGGTTTCTTGTCAGTCCGTTTCCTTCCCGTGGCATTTAATTGTCTGTTTAAATCGTATGCCTTATTTTCCGTGCTCTGGGGAGTTCTGCAGTTCCTTCGTAGGTGGCCTTCAACACCGCAATTCCAGCACTTTAGGGTCGGTTTTGTTTCACCACTATTCCGTCTTAAAGCATTCACTGGTCATTGTCAACTCATCCGTTTCATTATCCGTGCCCTGGGGTGTTCTGCAATGCCGTCGTAGGTGATCTTCAGAACCAAATCTCCAACATCTTACAGCCATTTTGTTCTCACTGCTACTCCGTATCAAAGCATCGACTTGTCTGGATAAATCATCTAAACGAGCCATCAATTGGTCCCCTGGGTCGTGGACTCGCACAGCTCTGACTGGGTAGCGATCCCTAAGAGTTGCTTGCTGGGCTGCCTCCAATTTCACAGCGTACAACAGAGCGCTTTTTACATCCTTTACATCTGCCATTCGCAGTGCTTTCTGTATTTCAGGGTCCCGAATGCCATCGATGAAATATTGCAGCGACAGGATTTCCCTCGTTTCTCTCGGGCACTCCGTAAAGGCAAGGTGGGACAGCCTTTCAACATCCGTGGCGAGCTCCTGAAGTGTTTCGGTGGGCTTCTGCTGACGGGATTTTAGTTGAAGCCTGCTGTAGTCTTTTAAACACTTCTCTCCAAAGCGCAGCTCCAATGCGCCAGATAGAGCTTCAAAGTCTAGTCTTTTGTTTTCGGGAAGAGTCTGAAGGATATCCGCTGCGTCGGCTCTTAGAGAAGCGGCGGGATGACAGGCCTTAGCTTGGGAATCCCATCCATTCGCATCCGCCACGATAGAAAACTGTGTCTTATACACCTGCCAGGAGGTCTTCCCATCATATGTGGATAGCTTCAGAGGTGGACGAGCAGGCATTGGTAAGAATTTAAAATCATCACTCCTGCTCCCTGCCGACGCTACGAATTTCTTTAAAGTATCCATTTCTTTGGCAACTGCAGAAAACTCTCTCATCAATTTGTTGTTCGATTTGGTGTTGGACGGCACAAACTCTTCCTTCAATTCGTTCCTCCACAGCAGAAAACTCTTCCTTCTATATGTTCTTTTACAGAAGAAACTTTTTCTTCTATTTCTTCTTTCACCGAAGAAACTCTTTCTTCAATATGATCTTTTACGGAAGAAAACCTTTTCTTCAATATGTCCAACTTTATTTCAACAACTGCTTCAATTCTGCCTTCCATAGCTTCAAATTTATTTTCTATTATGCAAAGTAATTTCTCTTTTCATTTCTTCTTGACCAGCTTGAACGGCTTTTCATTTCGTCCTTAACGGATTCCTGGCCCAATTTCATTTCATTCCTGGCCAATCTTTAATTTCTTCTTTAAATGAGGCAAAGGCTGATATTAACTGCCTTAATTGCTCTTCCATCGCTCTTGTTATGGCATTCAAACCCCACTCCTGACACCAAAAATTGTTGCGTGCGTACGGGTTCGTTATGAAATGAATGCACAAGTCCGATGAAAAATGAACAAAAAAAAATTTTATATTATCACAACAAAAATGCTTAAATTTTCTCAAATTATCATGCAGTATTACAATATCTCACAGTAGTTTCTTTTAACTACTCAAATGTCCAATAGAACGCAATTAAAAACAGCTAAAAAGAACGCTAATCCGCGAATTCGCTACAATCAACAAGAGCAGTTTTCTAAACAACAACAAACTAAGCAACTACTACAAATGAGATGTTTTTTCCTCCTTTTATAAGATTTTAAAATCACGCGCTAGAATTTTCCAGTACTTTCTCGAAATCAAAAAGAGATATTATTTATTTAATGCACGCGCTCTTGTATTTTCAATTTTCCGGCTTAGCTTTCTTTTAATATTCGTCACGCGCTGCACTGCGCGAGAAATAAAACCATTTAATTTATAATTGAACTAACATTAGCTTTTTAAATACCAAATTCGTAACAATATATATATTCATGCAGATTCTTTATTATTTAATTTTTTTAATATCATAGAGGGCGATAATATTTGGTGACAACGATCTGAAAAGTGATTCAACGATTTTAGTGATTCGACGCAAAACCACGTTTCGAGACTAATAGACTAAAGCCGGTTTGAGCTAAAAAAATTTACAGAATTTTTTTTCCGTTAAATTAATAAATTCCTTGTAAACCTTTATCGCAAACCAAGATTTTTTTTTTTAGTCCAAAGGGATTTGAATCCCGAAGGACTATTAGTTTCGTTTTGGCATTTTACGTCGGACTCATAAATGTCGGTTCACTTTTCAAACTGTTGCCACAAAATGTTAGAGTCCTGCATTATATTTGAAGAAATTAAATAATGAAAAATCTGCATAAATGTATGTATATTTCTCGTATTGTGATAAAACAACGGTACATAGAGTCATCGAATTTTGAATAACGTAATCCTCCAACGAATATGAGCATGTGGAAGACCAAATTTGAAATTTGAAATTTGTTTTATGATCGATTTCCTATTTTTTAAAACTTTGACGAATTTTTGATTAACAAACTCAAGGATTTCAAAGCGAGCAATGGCAAACGTTGTGCAGAAAAAAAAAAAAATTTTATCTCCAGCGCGTGAGTCTCTGTATCGGAAATTCTAAAGATAGGCTCGTTTAAAACTATTTTGCGATATTGCTGTTGAACTGGAATCTTTATGGTTTAAGTGCGAGGAACATGATAAAGGTGAACACAAAACGTTAATAAAAGGTAAATAAATAAAAGTAACACACAAAATGTTAAAACAAAAAACGCCCTTTGGACGTAATTTAAAATCTGAAACATTTCAGATTTTTTTTTTTTTTTTTTTTTTTTTTTTTTTTTTTTTTTTTTTAAGTCCAAAGGAGCTTTTTTCCTTGAAGGACTATTGTTTTCGTTTTGCGATTTTGCGTTGAATCACTATAAATGTCCGTTTCACTTTTCAAACTGTTGCCACCCAATTTTAGAGTACTGCATTATGTTTAAAGAAATTAAATAATGAAAAATCTGCATAAATGTATGCATATTTCTCGCATTGTGTTAAAACAACGGTACATAGAGCCATCGAATTTTGAATGACGTAATCCTACTGCGAATATGGGCATGTGGAAGCCCAAATTTGAAATTTGTTTTATTATCAATTTCCTCTTTTTGTAAAACTTTAACTAACGAATTTTTCATTCACATACTCAGCGATTTCAAAGCGAGCAGTGGCAACGTTGTACAGAAAAAACCTTTTTATATCCAGCGCGCGAGGTTCTGTATCGGAAATTCTAGGGATAGGCTCAGTTTAAAACTATTTTGCGATATAGCTGTTGAACTGAAATTTATGGTTTAAGTGCGAATAACGTGATATTTAATAAATAAAGGTAACAGACAAAATGTTAAAAAAAACGCCCCTTTGGATCTAATTTAAATCTGAAACCTTTCAGATTTTCTTTATATATATATGATGTACCAGCTTTTGTCAGGAATAAATAGATTGTTGAAGACTCATAAATGTAGTCGTAGCTTAAATTATCAGACGATAAGTTTAAAAATCAGGATCCATTTATTATTATTCAGTAGAAATAGCAGTTACAAAAATCAGATATCCGGAGTAAATAAAAAAGAATTACTAATAACTTTTTGTATGAAGTTTACTGCATCGTGACATTTAAGAAAAAGCTGGCGATATTCTTTTGCGAGTCTTTTTATAGCCTCTGAAAAGGCGGATCTTCCAAGAAATGACGTCAGCCAATCCAGTTCGCTTTAAATATTTCCAGAACGTTCTAAAACTGTACGTGTAAAAAGGCGGGAAAAACAACTTGACTACGGGGCTGTTGGTTTAATTCCACGTACTTTTAAATAAGAGAACGTCGCCATTAAAAATGAAAAGAACATACAGTTAGAATTTTAAGTGTATTCTTGACTATGGAATTTTATTATTACAAACATATATTTTAAAATATTTTTTAAGCTTAAAGCTTGATTTATTATTTTATTTACTGTTGCTACAGATGTATTTAAAGCCGTTTCAAATGATTTCGAAGTCGGCGGATCTGTTTTGTTACCGACCACTTAATATTAGAAACACTACGTACCTTTTCCGGGTATTCGTTTGGAATTTTCTTTCCATGTTGAAGTAATGACTGATGGTTTTTCCCTTTCCGATTAATAATGTTGCTTATGCACCTAGAAATTTGAGTACAATGCATAAAATCATTGAAATATTATTGAAAAAGCTGTTCATGATTTTACAGCTGCAAAATATTTTTTAGAGATTCCCACGAGAATGATGACATCCAACAGCTGACTCAGCAAGTATCAGAGCCGGTAATCGAACCTGTGGTGGTGGCAACACAGCACCAGTCACATTACAACCGCCAAAGTCATAGTCATTCCAGAAGCGGAAGTACTACTAGAGACCCCTTACAGCTGATGAATGAAAGTAGCTTCCATCATCATCATCATGATCACCATCGCAATGAGCCGTCTACTAGGAACCAAATAGCTTTTCTACCCAAATGTAAGGGCTTCTTTATTGGTATAAAAATTAGCATATTATGTTTGAAAATCTGTAATTACTACCACCATTGCATTTCTTATGTTCGAGAAATGCATATTGCATTTCTTAGCACTTCCGATATCATTTCCAAAATGTATCACATGATTATGTTACGGTGAAACACCGAAATCTGGAGAATGTCGACTTTCACCGGTGAATGTCAACATTCACATAGTCGCTTGGTGTATGTCCGAAATATTTTCCAAATACTCTTATTTCTGACTTACACCGGTGAATGTCGACATTCACCATGCACTAATGGTGAATGTTGAACATATAAGAATATTATATTTCCTTCTCCGTAACTCATTCGCGAAAAAACGCACTTGAGACTCAGAATAAGAACTTAAGAATATAAGAACTTAAAACACACAGTACATTCAAAATGAGAAATGAAAATAATAGAAGTTATAAACTTACCAAATTATGTGATTCAAATCTTATTTATTGCAACAACTTAAACTATTATGACACTTTAAATTGCACAAGAGGCCCTTGCTTTTCCAACTGCATGTGAAACACTTGCTTTTGGAATGGCAGCGTGTACTTTTCGACCTACACCAGAGCATATCTGTGATTGTCGACATACACCGGTGAGGGTCCGAATGTACAAGAATATAAAGAAATATTTGATCTTTCACCGACGTATTTGGTGAATGTTGACACTCTCCGGTGAAAGTCGACATTCTCCAATTTCGGTCTTTCACGATAACAATAATATTTCAGTTTATATTTTCATAAATGATATATAATGATGTTAAAGTTGCAGTGAACAAATTATTATATTAATATATTAATATATTATTCTTTTTTCTACTGTGACCATCACATTTGTAAATATTCTACTTAATAATAAAATAGCATGAATGCATTCATGAATATAAAATAGCATGAATTTTTCACATTTTTACTTCCTTGTACGAAGAAAAGGAAGTATTGTAATAACGAAAAACTCCGGGTACAACATTTCAACGAAAATATCCGTTTTGACCGCTATCGAATGCAATTTAAAGATGATTTTGCATGACATCTGTACATAAGGACAGAATAAAGGACTCTTTTTCACAAAACGAATAATAAAACTAATTTAGAATGGATTCAGGAAAGATTTTTTCCGTGACTTCTTACGTATATATGTATGTATCTCGCATAACTCAAAAATGATTAGCCTCAGAACATTGAAATTTTGTATACAGCATTGCTGTAGCATGTAGTTATGCACCTCCCAATTTGGTGGCAATCGGCCTCACTAAATATGTATATATATATATATACTCACTCTGTTACTCGGCTCATTCAGCTCAGTTTTTTTATTCTTATATGTTGGTAAATTGTGCATTTTTTACTCAAACATGTTTTCAGGAAAATTATTTAGTAGTAAAAAGCCTGTGTTACCCATTATCTATTGTATTCTACGTAAGAATGCATAGAATACAATAGATTATGTAAACCTAGTTATAATATTACTAGAAAGCCCGGCGGTCATACGAAATAATCGCTGTTCTAGATATTATAAATAGTAATTAAAATGATTTGTGCAAAGGTATCTGCTAATTCAAACTGAATAACCCAGGGCAGGCGGCGAGGACGCCCCTTTGCTTACTGCCCCACGGGTTTACCCCTTCTACTTGCTTAATTGCTTAAAGTAGAGTGCAATGAAGGAAACCACTGGCGGTATATTTCTTAAGAGCCACCGCTAGCTCAATAAATAAAGGTGATTTAAGTAATAAAATGTTAATTCACATGCCGAAGATCTCTTTGTACACAACATTTCTTGTGTAGATCTTTCCATCATCCTTGCAGAGGACCATCCATTATTTTTAATTTTACGTCCGTTCTTTCACGAACAGGCAACATAAAGTTGACCGTGTCCATAATGCAGGCTCATGTAAAAAAATGCCGACACGCTTAAGCATTTGGCCCTGAGACTTATTGATGTTGAAAGCAAAGGCAAATTTTAGAGGAAATTTTCTACGTCTCAATTGAAACGGCAACCCTGTGCCGTCGCAACCTAGCCCCATTGGCTAATACAGTTACGCAAGCAACCAATAAACTATCGGCGACAAACAGACACTTAAGCCGCATATAATAAAGATATTTATTTATTTCATTTTATTTGCTTTTTCATCGTCGCCGGTTTTTGCCGGTTGCATATTTCCGAATTCTATTATATATAGATGTTAAATTTATTTATTGAATGTTAAATGTATGTATGTTAAATGTAAATGTAAAAATGCTCTGGTATTTTTAATTTTTCCGGCTTAGCATCCTCATAATATTCGTCCCGAGCTGTACTGCACGGGGAATAAAACAATTTACAGTTACGCAAGCGACCAATAAACTATCGGCGACAAACACTTAAGCCGCACATATATATATATAAAATAAACTTTTATGTAAATTCTTCTACGTTAACAATTGTATCCAGACTGTATTTGTAAACCTCAGAAACACGATCACTTGAAACCGGATGAAATATTTTAGCCGTCGTATATTTTTATCAGAAAAAAAGATGCTAACGTAAAAGTACGGAGAAGAAGATCGTATTTGTAAACCAGTTCTATGACTTAGATCAGGGTTTCTTAAACTGTGGATCGAGACCCGCAAGGGGGTCGCGGAAACTGCAGCAGGGGGTCGCCAAAAATTTTAGCAGTTATGATATTTCTTTAAATTATTATAATAATTTTACAATTACCAAATATTTTTACACAATGTATCTGAAAATAGACAAAGATAAGACAATACAGACAAAGAAAAAAAACGAAAACGTGTCGACGCATTCTTTTTATAATATAAACATTCATTTTCCTTGCTTTGCACGTGATGCTGTCATTTCATCTGTTACTTATTTCACATTTCACATTGTTCTATGTCTTAAAATTAGAAATTAAGGTTAATAAGCCAAAACTGCAATATTATATTACAGTACAAGTGAAAAAATTGACAGTTTCACTCACGCGTGTCTCGGATTTGCGCAATACTTATGGGGTTCCACAAAATTTTTGTAAATATTATGAGGTCCTGGGGGTCGCGAACAAGATAGAAAGTTGTCGCGACTCAGTGATAGAAAGTTGTCGCGACTGAAAAAAGTTTAAGAACATTGACTTAGATCATAATCTGTTTGATTATAGAGATAGCTGACATAAGACAAGTGAAATTTAATTCCAGATTTTTTTTACAGCTGAAATTAAATTTCACTGTTTAGCTTAAATTTCATTTGTCCTAAAGTATGCTCATGATGTCTTTTACTTTTAATACCATTTTTCATCTAAATTGGGCTTTATATTTATAAAATTTAGCTCTGTTAGGAAGCATACACTACAGACTTTAAAAAGACTATTTGAAGAATTATCTTCTAGCCTTGTGAAACAAAACAAAAGTCAGAAGAAGGTTGTCTAAAAACCTTTTATTCGAACACAAACTTAACAGTTACCTCAGTTGGTTTCACACAAGCCAAGCACTTCTGGTTTTAACAGAAATACGTAACGTTTGGACAAATTCAAAATGTGATAGATTAGCCTAACGGTTCACAGGATAATTTAACGTGCAGGTAAGGCTCTGGTTTGTAAAATACCGGCGAGACAAAGCCGAATGGCTAGAAGCCCTCAACCCCACTAAATCCAGTCACTAATAAACACGCCACTACTTGGCCTGGAATAAGCAGACACGCTCTAAAACTAACTCCTGAAATTCTTGCTTAAATGGCACTTCTTTCTGCCTTAAGGGGACTCATACACCTTAAAACCCATAAGATCTTCGAATATGTGACTGTTGCAAGAATGGGGTTAACTTATTTATTTTAAAAGCAATTACTTCCAACTTTTTACAGCTGACTACATAATATAGCTGCGTTCTGAAATAGTAATCAGAAAGTTTGTGTTACCACAAATATTTTTATAATTTAATCCGCTTTGTGACAACATTTTTCGTCATGTTTCCACCTTGCGCGCACAGTTTAAAATATTCTGTTGCATAATTTAATTCCATATTTAGTATGTAGCTTTTATACCATTTGGAAACTATTCTGAGCCAAAAATTCTAAGAATTTCATGTTAAATTTTTATTTTATTTGCAGTTGAGACTATAAAATGTACTTTATTAAAAAAATTCTGTAATGTTTTCTTGCATAAAATTTTTGAATATTAAAATATTCATCAGATTTTTGGTTCAGTTAGAAGATAGTGCCCATATAAAGAATTCCATCCAATTTCAAATATGTACCATTAGCCATTTTTAAAATATCATGCGCGCAAGGTTGAAACATGAGGAAAAATTTTGTCACAAAGTGGATTAAATTACAAAACTATTTGTGGCAACATAAACTTTCTGGTCACTAGTTTCCAAAGCAACTATATTATGCAATCAGCTGTAAAAAGTTGGAAGTAAGTGCTTTTAAAATAAATAAAACATCACAATTCTTGCAACAGTAACATAATTCGAAGATCATAAGGGGTTTAAGGTGTATGAGGCCCCTTAATATGCATAAACACTCGCTGTCTCATTCTGGCATGAAAAGCATGAGTGAAAAGGGAGTGATAGGAAAGCCTTTCAATTTAAAATGAACTATTATTTAAAGAATAAATAGCTAAACCTCACATATTAATTAAATGCAGTAAAACAACAGAAATGTTGGTCTTTTGATCTCATGTATTGCCATATGTTAGTTTTTTGCCACTATAGAACAATTGATTTCTCTGATGATATGCTTTTTTGAGTGCTATGAGGTTCAACATTATTGTTTCTCTTAATGAAATAAAATAACTGTTCTTCTAGATAAAAAATTAACATTCAGAAAACATACCTTTAATGCCTGTGACAAAGCGTTAAAGGCGCACAGGCATTTAAGGCGTTACATTAATTTTAGAAAGGTATTTAAGGCGCCATATCATTCTTCGTAACCAAAAATAGTAAACATCGAATGTTTCAGAGACGATTCTAACTCTACGATGTACAAACTTAGAGTGATTAGGTTATTTTGAAGCAGGGGGCACGAAAAATAAGCAATGCCCTCGCCAGGACTCGAACTTGGACCTCTCGAATACGCGGCGAGTGAGCTAACTGTAACACCACGAAGGCATGCGGAAAGGAGGGAGAAAAAGGTTATTCGGATAAACTTGTAATGAAAGTGGATTACGTATTTCGAAAGAACTGATCAAAGATCTGTATATGCAAACGCGAATTTAATGTGATTGGATTAAAATTCTATATTCTTTTTTTTTCTCTTCTAGACTCAGAATACAACTTGTATGATTTCGCCATTTGCGACGTACAACCGAACAGAGCCATAGCCGAAGAACTGCAGCAAGAAATCGTCGGTCAAGTTGCATTGTGGGAGAAGGTAACTTTACTGAGATAAATTTAAATAATGCTTCCCGTACTGAGAATCGGTAACGAATAATTAAACATTTATCTGTTAATTCTTTATTTGTATTGATTTAACGATATAAATATTTAAAAGACATAAATAAAATTAAATCAATGCACTTCACGACGGAATTTTTCAATGAACTAACGTTTAAAAGTATATATTTCTTTAATTTCTTTTCTAATATTATTTGTTCCGAAAACATATAATCTATTAATGCATTCGAGTTTTACAACATTCTTGAGTTTACAAAGAAAGTTTTGCTTAATAAATAGAAAGCCATCGTTATAAAGATCTTTAATACATTGACAGTTTACCTTTAGATACATTTATCAGGTTCAATGTTCCGTCTTACTTTCTTTGGGAACATGCACAGACCTGACTCGGAACAGGGAGCTTACTAAAGCTATGTTCAATAACTGTGGGAAGTAGACAGATACACAGGAAGGGTATACAAACCCCTTTATTTTCACTCTTTACAATAATTTCCGTACTTCGGAATACAGAGACCAACTACTTGTGGTCTGAACGTAAGAATATAAAAATATTAACTAAAATTAAATTTGGAATAATCAACAAGGGCCTACGTGTAAGATTCGCCGGATATTAACAGGAAGCCGTATGTAGTACAGAGAACTGTTAACACTACAATACGTTTAAAATTATCACGAGGATTAAACCTCTGGCCTGGAAGGCAAACAGCAACCGAGTAAAACTTCTAAGGCAAGCGGCCTGCTTCGACTAACTCCTTCCTCTCTCTCTCGCTTGGCAAAAAGCCACAACTTAAGTACTTGGCGTTCGCCAGACAAATTTTGCATAAATAAGTTAACGCTTTTAATTCTGGCCGGAAGTAGAAAATAAGAAGTGATAGTAAAGATTTAAAATAAAATAAACGTTAGTAAAACTTAAGATCCTTACACATTGAAGTTTACCTTTTAGTTTTAACTGTCACCCAATACCTGAGAATACGCTGTAGTAAGTGTTCCAAATATATCATACAGATAAAGTAGGTTATTCAGATATCATTTTTTAAAAATGTATTAAAGTGTTTAAATGTGTTTTCAAATGTTGAAGCAAACTGAATTAAATTATTCTTGAGATTGTATCCTGTATCAGAAATACTCATACAGGTCTTATAGTAATTTAATTCAGTTTTATGAATGGCGTTATAAATAAATTTCGTTAATCATACGGAGAGTATAAATGTTAATATCGTTATTAAAAAGTACACTGAGCACCGAAAAAAAAAAAAAAAAAAAAAAAAAAAGAACAGTTCTACTGGGCCAATTGACGACATTCAATTGATTGACGATTGACCCTAAAACCCGCTTGGTAAATCTTTACATTATGGTAACTTGGCGATTTTTTGGCGAAAATTTGGCGACTAACCCTGCTACAGCAACCTGCTAGTTTTGTTTTGGACGCAATTTTGTTTTCACAAAGTAAAGGCATGTTTTTTTTTAACTCAACATTTTTTCTAACAATCTGCTAGCCGAATTAAGCTTATAAGAGTACTAGAACTTTTATGGAACAAAAATGCTTAATCGTGACGAATATTAGGTGCGAAATTGGGAAAAAGTGCAGAATCGCAAACTGCTTGCCGCGTTTTTAAGAATTGCACATACACGGTATCCATGTACACGTCGACCTATTTTCGTTTAAAAAAAATCCCAGAATTGCACAAAAATGGCATTGCGCACACTCTTGACTTTATCTATGTTCACATCGACATATTTTCACTTAAAAAGTAGTCCTAGCTAGTAACCTTTATCGCCTTACCAAAAGGTCGCCAAACCACCTGTTACCATATTCTAAAGATTAGGCACCCGCTTTGCGAGGAGGCTATCTTACTGTAACTGGGCCTGTCGTAACAATATATATTTTACAGTGCTTCATTTCATAGAAATTTTTTATGTCTGCAAAAATCTTCGGTTGCTGGAATAGATTTTTTTTTAGATTAAAAAAAATATTGAGTGTTATGAAAAACCTCCAACATGAAGAATGAATAAGTAATATAATTCGTATATTTAATTCTTGACCTGTCATATGCTGTCTGTGAGAATGCCACATTTGTAAATCTCCTGTGTTTTTTAATGTATCAGAAAAAAAGAGTAATTGTTTAAGATCACCACTATGGCCAATTGTAGCAAATTTTACTTGTATTCTGCCTTTTAAAGTTTTCTCAAAATAGCAGTTATCACAGACAGCAAGCATGCTTTGTGCATCACAGGTTCACATGACTGGTTAAGTGTTAAGATAGATAAAATAACAGTTATCACAGACAGCAACAGCAAGCATGCTTTGTGTCCCACAGGTTCACACGACTGGTTAATAGTTAAGATAGAGACTCATTTAAGGGGGCTCATACACCTTAAACCCCTCATGATCTTCGAATATGCGACTGTTGCAATAATTGGAATATTTAATTTATTTTAAAAACAATTAATTCCAACTTTTTACAGCTGACTACGTAATATAACTGCTTTGGGAATGAGTAACCAGAAAGTTTGTGTTGCCACAAATATTTTTGTAATTTAATCCGCTTTCTGATAAAAGTTTTCGCCATGTTTTCACCTCGCGCACATGATATTTTAAAATGGCACGTAAAAAAAAAATGGCTAATGGTACATACTTGAAATTGGATGGAATACTTTATGTGGACACTATTTTCTAACGGAACCAAAAATCTGATGAATATTTTAATATTAAAAAATTTTATGGACGAAAACATTACAATTTTTTTAATAAAATACATTTTATAAACTCAACTCCAAATAAAATAAAAATTTAACATGATATTCTTAGAATTTTTGGTTCATAGTAATTTCCAAATGTTATAAAAGCTATATATTAAATATGGAACTAAATTATGCAACAGAATGTTTTAAACTGTGCGCGCAAGGTAGAAACATGACGAAAAATTGTGTCACAAAACGGATTAAATTATAAAAATATTTGTGGCAACACAAACTTTCTGATTACTATTTCAGAAAGCAGCTATATTATGTAGTCAGCTGTACAAAGTTGGAAGTAATTGCTTTTAAAATAAATAAGTTATCCCAATTCTTGCAACAGTTAGATAATCGAAGATCTTGTGGGTTTTAAGGTGTAAGAGTCCCCTTAATGACTGACTGTATCTCTAGTCTACCAATGTTAAGCTGATTCCCTACGATGCGTCTGCACATCTGGGTGCATCTTGGCGAGAAACTCGTCCATTTTTAAAAAATTTTAAATATCCATTTTTTCAGTTTCACCGAGAAGTGACGTTTTATTTGGTGTTTTTTTAAGATTTTCTGCGGTCTTTCTTTTTTAAATTATACGCGCCTCACAAGCAACCAAAAACCAAAACCTCCACACAAAAGATTAGAAGTTTTCCAGTAAATAAAAAAAGGTCAGTGTTTGCATGGGAAGAAAAATTTTACAAACATTCTTTCTCCCTTAAAATGCGAATCGAATTTTCTCCTTGCACTTCCAACAAGAGCTCTGTTTTTTTTTTTAGGTTAAAAAAACACGCCGAAATAACGGAATTATTCCCCTTTATTCTCCGTTTTGGCCAGAAGTAGTAAGTTGAAGTTAAGAATTTGACAGGAAAGGAACTTTAACTTAAAATGTAACTGTTTATGTAACTGTAATTATGCTACTGCACTGTAATTATGTAAATGTAAATGTAACTGTAATTATGCTACTTTTATAAAGTAGCATAATCCTTACAAGGCAGTGGGAGTTGCAAGTTGCATTTCACATTCTTCTGTTCATGATATTCAAACTTATTTAAGCACAAAATTTACAGGAGTTGTAAAAAAGTTATTTTAATTTCAATGTCCTATCCTATCAATTGTTTCCACTTACAACTTCCTACCAGAACTAGTTTTTGGAACCGCGTTGAAAGCAAATGAGTTAGAAGAAGTATTTAAGGAAGGTTCAACGATAGAGAGTGCTATGAATCTTTAGTAGCGCGCATTTGCCTACTGGCTACGTCACTATTGAAATTGTTACCCTCGGCCGTATTATTACGTGCCTTTTGATAGTAGCCGTAGTAACACACCGGCAGTATTATTACGGCTAGTTTAAATTAAGGGCCAACTTCGCTAGAAAATCGTGTTTAGCTTCGGCTAATTCTCATTTAATTAGTTATAGTTTAGCTTCTTATTTCTTATTCCGAGTTTAAGCACTAGTGGAGGCTTCCTGTAAGCCCGAGAAAGGGCCGACTGTTTTTCTTATGTGAGTGATTAAAATGTATTTTAACCTCTATCGAGTCTTTAGTTGTTTGAACTCAGCGATAAGTTGTTTACTAAGTTCACCTAGTTCACTAAGGTCCTCGTCGTTTATCTTAGAGTAACAAAAGGACTGAGGAACCGTACAGAATAAATGAGTAAATTTATTTGAATACAGTTGCTGTCTATATAGTCAATACACAAAGCGTGACTTCACAATAAATTAATTAGTACATTTATCAAGCTAAAATTCTGATACTCTTTGCAAAATAGCAGAATAAGAAACGTAATTCCACGAAATGAAAACATGTTTAGTTAGAAGTTTCTGCCATACGCACAAAAATTGTATTGGAAACACATAATTCAATAACTTATTTTTATTTTAAACCTTATTTATTACCATTTCTTTTCTTCTCCATTGACCAGAAAAGAGGAGGACGACAGCTGAGCATTCACGTTCGTCTCCAAGGCTTTAATGTTGGAGATCATCATGCGGGACATCATGGATCCCAACAAGAACTGCAACAAGAAGAAGATAACGAGACTCCAACTCAAGAAGTAGGTCACAAGCATGGTTTCCACATCCACGCCTCGGGAGATCTTTCTAATGGTTGCCAGTCAGCTGGACCCCATTTCAACCCTAAAAATGTCACCCATGGTGGAATTGATGTCATAGTGAGGTAAGCTCCTGATGGAACTTAAGCATTTTGAATCGGTTACAGATTAGCATAGTTTGAAACCATTTCCTAAAACTTTTTAATCCTTTAGAAATTTCAACAAAAAGTTAAGTATTAGAGATAAAGTGGATAAAAAATTAGAGACGAAACTATTGCAGATATAAACAGACAAATTAAAAGAACAGATAGACAGACAAATTAACAAATGAACTTTTACAGACATATTAAAAGTGAAAAAAATGGCTCGGTTGCCATCATTATTTTGGGAAATATGATTAGTGAGAACTAGCGATGTCAATGATATATACACTCATGTGCAAGATAAAGGCAATTTTCACATATGCCGAATTTCTAAAAAACTAATGGAGAGATTATAATGAAACTCGGTACAAATAGGTATATACACTCCTCCAAAAGTGAAATTGCAACACCAAGAAAGAATGCGCGTAGCATCATGCCAATTGCAGGAGCGAGAGTTGTGAGGTGGGTATGCCAATGATAAAAGTTGCGCACGCACTGGATCACGTGATACGCATATGCGGGTTATAAAGTTCGGCCACTTTCCCTTCTCATAAACATCCAGATTAGGCCCTATTTTAAAAATTGTTCACCTTCTACAGGTGACGGAGGACGGGGACGCCTGATGTTTAACAGAGGTAAACAGGCATATGTCCCGCGCTCCCATATCTAGTGCAGCAACTCAGGAGCCTCATGAGGCCACCTTGGGAGTTTATTGAAGAATTTTTACGTAATTGTACATGGCCATACAGAGGCGTCTTAGGAATACATGTTTTGATCGATAGCGGATGATTTGTTACAATCTTGGTTTTTAGACACTGTTAGACACTAATTACAGCATTACATACACATACAATACATACAATTGCACATATAAAGATATACAAAACACTTGTAAACCATATAAAAGCATATATAACACATATAACACGTACATTATATAAAAAATAGTTAGATACTAGTTTGCACCCTTACAATAAACACATACTTATAATGAAACATATTTAAGCTAATATAGTATACACTTACACTAAAGACACATTTAGATCATTTAGACACATTTAGATCATATCACATGTAAATGCGAAATAAACATTAAGCAGCAGGCACACTGTAGAATAAAATTTTGATTAGATGATATATAATTACAGATGAACTTTACTCTGGAGATACATATGCAATACATTATATCAGGTCACCAATACTTATTTAATTTGAATAGAATTCAGCGCTTTTTATACATAATGCTTCGAATGATACACAAGTAAAAACAGATACACTATGCTGTAACATTAGATATTAGAATTTATACTGCGCCACATTGTACAAACGAAATAAGACACTTACTATATATACAAACACAGTATGGTGTACAATTATGCAACACATTACTAACGTATTAAACGCAGAATAAAACCAATACTACGGTATATAACACAATTGCCACGATATATAAACACAATTATACTTACACATTAAAAAACTAACTATTGTCCACACAATTATAGTACGCAGCACCATGCATGCTATGTTGCCAAGCTATATTTTCTATGCGAAGCTATGAGATTAGACAGTAATGCAGATACAATATTGAATAGATAGATGATTATACATGATGCATATGTCAGATACAGTGCAGATATAAATATACATAGTTTTGAGTAATACAGATATGATGTGCAGGCAATCCTGTAGTGGAGACACTATTTATAAGATGCGCTGAGCTTATTTTATGTATATTAGAGCAGCAGTGTTTATTGGATTAAAGTAGGACACAGTACTTTTATATACACATTGCTCACAGAACAAATGCAGGCAAAGTCAGATACACAACCGGTTGTAAGGTATTGCAGGAATGCACACCATGTAGATAGTGCTAGTAATTATTGCTTTATACAGCAGATACTGTGCAGAATTTGACAAATTCAGTGCATATGAGGTGCATAATTTTTTGCAGATAGTTTGTATAACGCGTTTGTGTAATACAGTACTGGCAATGACTGTAGGAGAAACACTATGTTGAGAATAACAGTGCATATTAGTATTGTATAGATACATGATGCTTGTTATAACAATGCTTACAGAATGGTTACACAATGCAAAGTCGGATACACATTTGTTTTACACTGTCATTAAGCATGCCTAGCATGGACATGCAGTAGTAACCTGTGATTAGTCAGTGTTGAGCTCTGTACACGTTGATAAGTTCTGTACACGATTTGTCAGGGCGTTCCAATTACTCTGCGCACAGTACCTTATACACTGATATATAACTTGCAGTTGTTGTAATAACTGTGTTGTAGTAACTGTCTACAATACAATGCTTATCCAACCATTCCAACAGATGACGATTCAAGAGCAGAAATCCTCTTCAATAATTCTCGCCATGTTCAGAAGATGGCGCCACAGCAAGCAAGTAAAACTCACTTTCCACTTTTAAAGTGGACTTCACTAACGACGCACCCCGTAGGGTCATTAATTGCTGAGTAAAAGTCTTAAGACTAAATACTCATTCTCACCTCAATTCACGGTACGCAGATGCAATTCTCATAAACAGCATCTTAGGGTTTACGGAGCATTGGAGACGTTAGAAGAAGCATAGAAAATGTCTCTGAGACGTGGGGGGGCGTGTTCAGTCCGCTCAATACCATCAGTTAACGACCGGGGAACGTGACCGTATTACCGAACTCCATGAACTTGGTTTGCGGCTGCACACAGTAGCCACTCGTGTTGCGCACAACGTGAATACCATCCAACGTTGTGTTACACGATGGATTCCACGAAGGTGTACGTGCTCATTGAAGAGGAACCGACATCCGCAGCCGGTTGCCTCCAGGAGCAAGTGGATCTGTGTCCACCCAAACTATACGCAACAGACTGCATGAAGTACACTTACGTTCACGGGTACCAGCCACAGAGGTACCATTGGTTGCTGAACAAAAGACTAGACGCCTGGTGTGATGTCAGTGTCATAATGTGTGGACTATCGAATGGCATCAGGTTTTGCTCACGAATGAATCTCGTTTCTGTCTGTATAGGAATGACGGCCGTCGACGGGCACGGCGGCGAGCAGGAGAACGCTGCGAAACATTCCATTTCGTCGAGCGTCACACCGATCCTGCACCATGCATTATGGTTTGGGGTGGTATAATGTTTGATCACAAAACCCTCCTGTTACGACAGTTTGACAGCGGACCGCATGGAGCTTGTTGTTCGAACCCAACACGGTATTTTACAAGACAACGCCAATGTCGCACAGCGTACTCTTAACAGCCTGACCGTATTTGACATCCTACCCTGGCCAGCAACCTCTCCAGATCTGAATCCCATCGAACACCTGTGGGATGTCATTGGACGTGACATTGACCGAGGACCACGGCCGCAAACGCTGAATGATCTACGTGCATCAGTGGATGTGAGTTGGCAAAGGCTGCATCAGGCAAAAATCAATGAACTCATTGATAGCATGCCTCGCTGGATTTCAGTCTGTATCGCTACCTGAGGTAGGAATATTAGATACTGAATAAATCGGTTTACATTAATTTTTAGTCCAAAGGTTTTCGTTTTGCATTGAATCACTATATAAACGACGAATCACTTTTCAGACTGTTGCCACCAAATGTTAGAGTCCTTCATTATATTTAAAGAAATTGAATAATGAAAAATCTTCATAAATGTATGTATATTTCTCGCATTCTGATAAAACAACGGTACCTAGAGCCATCGAATTTTGAACGATGTAATCCTCCTACGAATATCGGCATGTGGAAGACCAAATTTGAAATTTGTTTTATTATCGATTGCATATTTTGTAAAACTTTAACGAATTTTTGAGTAACAAACTCGCGAGCAATGGCAACACTCTACGGGGGGAGGGGAAAACCTTTTAATATCCAGCGTGCGGAACTGTGTATTGGAAATTCTATAGATAGGCTCATTTGAAACTATTTTGCGACATTGCCATTGAATTATGGTTTAGTGCAAAGAACATGATATTTAATAAATAGAGGCGGTAACCCACAAAACGTTAAGAAAACGCCTCTTTGGACGTAATTTAAAATTTGAAACCTTTTAGATTTTTTTTTTTTTTTTTTTTTTTTTTATGTGTTTGTTTTTTTGATCAATTGCACATCTGTCTCACAACTCTCGATCCTGCAATTTGCATGACGGTACGAGCATTCTTTCTTCGTGTTGCAATTTCACTTTTGAGGAGTGTATAATGGAAAAAGAGGCGTACCAATCGAAAGTCATTTTATTTACGCATGATTTATCAGTAAAGCTCATAGTGCAGGGATGACCAAAATCCATATTGTGATATCGAGCTGAAAATAAGTCTAATATAAGGTGTGGTCCTCTCTCAGGGCCAGATAGATTGTGTAGCATGATGGCATGACTAGCTTTGTAAAAATTACAAAATTTTATTTTGTTAGTTTGCCCCGATCTGTATTGTTGCATTTAACAAATGTTTACTCACCCTTAAAAAAATAAAATGCAAAAAGTTTGATTTCCGTACGACAAAAACTGACCATATTTAATTCCAAAGTTTGAGAATTAAAAAAGAAAATTATTCAATGTCCCAGACCAATTTTTGCCGCATTTTCTTTTTTAGCCCATAGGAGCAATATGCCCAAAAGGGCTATTCATTTTGCTTTGGCATTTTGCGTCAATTCACTATAAACGGCGAATCAATTTTTAAATTGTTGCCACTAAATATTATCGCCCTGTATTATATTTGAAGAAATTAGTAATTAAGAATCTGCATGAAAGTGTATGTATGTTTCTCGCATTGTGATAAAACAACGGTACCTAGAGCCATCCAAATTTTGAATACCTAGAACCATCTAATTTTGAATAACATACGTCTCCACCCGAATATGGGCATCTGGAAGCTGAAATTTGGAATTTGTTATATTATCTATTTCATATTTTGTAAAGCATTTATGAGTTTTCGATTAAAGAAACTCAACGATTTCAAAGCGAGCCATGGCAACACTGTACAGGGGGG